ACTGAAATCATTGAGTGAAAATTTTCTGTCTTAAATTTAGCGCTCAAAGAGTACACGTAATACACAAAGTGCTGTAGCTTCAAAGGCTTTTTCGACCTTAAAATTCTATGACGAAGGCTTTGATTTCGGGGGATCAAACATGCTTAGCGTACTAGTTATATACTACCATAGAGTAACATGTACACAGATCGAGTACTCTACACAACTGCTTTATTAGAATACGATAAAGTTGAAGATTTTAGATATATGAAAATTCACATATTTGCACTGCGGTGGAAAGATGAAATTAAGAGATCCTCGCAGCTAAGAACAGTACTGAAACGAGTAGTTGTAAATAGGACCTGAAAAAAAAATTCAGGCCCGTACGGGATTTGAACCCATGACCTCTGCGATACCGGTGCAGCGCTCTACCAATTGAGCTAACAAACCAACTGGGAGCTGGTCAATGAATTGGGTCCAAATAAACATCCAAGTGAATGAAGATTTTAGATATATGAAAATTCACATATTTGCACTGCGGTGGAAAGATGAAATTAAGAGATCCTCACTGCACCGGTATCGCAGAGGTCATGGGTTCAAATCCCGTACGGGCCTGAATTTTTTTCAGGTCCTATTTACAACTACTCGTTTCAGTAGTGTTCTTAGCTGCGAGGATCTCTTAATTGTTGTAAATAGGACCTGAAAAAAATTCTTTTTGTAACCACGCGCGGCGCGCGCGATTTCAAATTAGCCAATCATGTCAAAGAACTTTAACCTTGACATTGGAAAACTGAGGTGGACATTGTTCGCGTACTTTTAGTTTTGTTTTCGCGGAGTTTTTAGTTGTTTTTGAGCTTTCGTTCGCGTAAATTTGTTACTCTTTATTTGGAATTTGAAGAAGTTTCGGAGTTTCAATTTCAGCCAAATGTTGTGGTTCATTTAACAAGTTTAATACATATTTTCTATGGAGTTTGGACTCACGTCTCTTTTTTCGTAAATGGATTTTTACACTCCTTGGCGATGACATATAGTTATGATTACTCACAGACTCAGAGCTAATCGAAAAGTACAAGGGCTCAGTCATTTTCTCAAACGCAAAGTCTCAACAAGTGGAAAAATTCTTCTTCTGTGAGTGTCTCAAATTGATCGGTTGCACTGTTAACAAACGAAGCAACAAACTTGAAACGGCTGCCTAATCGCTCTTTTCAAGATGCTTCACAACAAATGAACACTTTTGTTCACCAATCACAATCGAGAATTAACTTTGGATGATAATTTCTGACATCTGCAAGCAAATATTTTTTGTCCACGACAAGTCAAAGGAGACAGTTACTTTCCCCCAGTCTCATGCATGATTAATTCACTCTTGATGTTCTGTGTATCCTTAGAGGGGATATCCAAAACATAAGTTTTGGGTATAGGCATACCCAAAACTCGGTGATACCCAAAGTACTCTGACAGCGACCGTACTGCTGACAAGTAGCTGAAATGACCTTGGGCTCGAGATTGAATGTCGATGAGAACCTGCTCTTAGGCTACAGTCGTAGCTTATGTCTCCCGTTCAGTTCACCCTCCCCTCCCCCCCCCTTATTTTTGAACGACGTCACGACATGTCAGTAACGATGAACCGTTTAGGAGAACACCGAGTTAGTTCGAACTCTAGGAGTTGTAAGAAGGAAACGCCACCGCAACGAAACCTGCAAGAGTATAGATTTTGCAATGGACATTAAAATTAAAAGGAAACGTTTGTACATAAATTTGAGGCGCGCACATAGACATCAATTGATCATCGCAAACTGAATTTCTTTATTTTTATTTCCTCTTCCAGCTGCCGTTGATGTACGTAACAAAAAAGAAAAAGTATCTGCTCAGAATATCCACGGCTATAAATTTTTCTACATCCCTCTAAGATGAGGGAAGAAGTAAAAAAAAAACTCCTTCCAAGTCTGAACCTTCTATGCTGGGTCTAATTTGCAGCAGCGGCTACCGATATTATAACCAAAATATTTCTTTCTTTAAGATTCAAAAATGGAGTGCGGTACCTTGGTTACTACATAGAAGGCAAGAAAAATGGTGATGGTGTGTTCGTCTATCCAGATGGTTCCAAGTATGAAGGATCCTAGATCATCGATTTACGAGGCGGCTCTGGTACTTACACTTACCCCAATTGTGACACCTACAAATGGAAGTGGATAGAGGGGCGTAGACACGGCCAGGGAGTATAAACGTACAAAGCAACCGGTTCGCGTTACGATGGGAGACGGTTTCAAGGAAAAATGCACGATGAAGGCCAACTCATTCACTCAAGCCACAGATATGTGGGTGATTTTGAAGAGGAGGTACGTATTCGTCTCGGGGTGCGAGCACTTTGGAAAGTACGTATGGAAAGAGAAGGAGATTTTGAGTGAACACGAAGAGGACGCACCTGAAATTGTGATTTTACCGATGTGGGAGGGAAAAGAGATTTGCTCATTAACAGACAAACAGTGATAACCCCTACGCAGCGCTTACTGCGTGCCATTTTATTTGTTTCAATATACCAGACACTTTGTTAATTTCGTATAAAGTACAGAGCGTTTTCTACTCATGCAGATTAAATCCATATTCCGCTAGTCACATTTACACAAGCTTGTACGATGTTGATCTTCTTTCTTAACCAATAAGATCAAATTTATATTTCAGCTGATCACTGTCAAACGAGTCTATTAAAATTCTTATTCCCGCGATTTTTTTCGCCCTTTGATCCTACAATTACGTGAATTGTTGACGCCCTTCGTTTTTGCTCAGTGGCCGATTGGATATGATTTTACTTCCTATAGAAGGATGATAGCTCTTGGCGTACAAAAAGACGACTTTAAGGTACTTATATCTCCGCATAAGCGCGCCACGCCGTTGGTTAAGCGCCGGATGCAAACTAATGTAGTCATAAATGGAAAAGCAAACTTACAGTAATGTTCAGAAAGCTCCCTAGTCTTAGATACCAGAACACGAGGGAGCTCGCCTGATGACGATGTCTGCCATGCATAGTTAGCCTTTGTATCGTAACCTTCAGAAGTGTAGTTACCATATTTACGCATGCACAAGTGTACTTGTTATTAAAATATTTATAAGTAGTTGTATAAGAATAAGCGTGTTCGATTCTCCGATTCTCTATTCTTAAGATATTTCAAAGTAGTTGAGCATTTGTGAATTTCCTTGTATCGTTTTATGGCAAATTGAATTGAAAGAACTTCTAGAAAACTTTAACGGTAGGTGTTTAACAAACGTCACAAAGTGCATTGCTAGACCTGTACGTGCATGCGCGCAAGTTTCACTCCGTCCAAGCCTAGAGTTTATAAAAGTTTCTTCTTCCAAAGATGGTTGCATTTAACGAGATAATTACATTTAAAAAGAACATCGAAAGTATGTCGGATACGTTCTAGTTTCTGAATTGTATCCTACGCGATGACGTATAATTGAAGGTCGACGATAAACTTGCCATAGAAAAAAAAATCTAGCCACTCTACCGGCTTATGTATGTTTCTGAAGCGCTCATAAAATCTTTCATCAATTCAGTTGATCGGGCAGCTCATTAAAGCTTTGACCACTGCATTTCATCGAATCTCGTGATCTTAGTCCTTTGAGAAACGCCTGCGCGCGAGCTGCCCAATAATGTTCTGGATGAATTCCTTTCTTTTTCCACTCTTGTAGACATTCGTTCAAGATCTTCTCTCCAGCGTCCATGTCACCAACGTGCACAAAAGCCTCGCCCAAGAGAGCCCTAGGATGATAAGCACCAGGACTCACTACGAGGTTCTTATTCTTATGAACTTGTACAAGCTCTTCCAGAAAATCCTTCGCGCGTCGATATTCCCTACGGGTGAATAGGACGTCTGCGAGGAATGTACCCGCACGCAGCCACGCAATATGTCCTGAGCTTCTGTATACCTCGACGGCCTTCTGACACATCTCGTAAGCTTCGTCAATGTATCCTAAATGCAGTTTTGCCGTTCCGTATGATATCCTAACTCCGTTGGGGAACTTGTGATTATCTCCGTGAAGATCTAGGTAGATTTTTAACGCTTGCGCGTGAAGCATGGCCGATTCTCTCAGATGCATTTTGGTGCTGTGCGCATATGGATGCGTGTGACGCAGGCCAAGATACCAGCGCAGATGGACTTTAGCTGTGTAATTCAACACCTGGCCACGAAGGGACATCTCAGTCGAATCACAATTTTCAATAATTTTTCTGGCCCCCTCCAGGACTTGTAGAGCCTTATCGTTTTCCCATCTGTCATGCAAAATGATTCCAAGGTTACACATTCTCTCAACCAGCTCAACGTGACTGTTCCCGTAAGCCTCCCGGGTCACTTTAATACATTGCCACATGTACTTCTCTGCTAAGTCCAGCTGAGAACCTTCACGAAACGTAAACGCAAGAACATTTAAGACCTTTGATTTTTCTTCCATCCATATGGGATCTGTTTCAGTCTCGCAGAGCTTCTTGGCGTCCTCCAGAATCGGAATCGCTTTATCCAGGAAGCCCGCCTCACGGTAAGTGTAACCCAAGTCGTGAAGCAACCTGCATGCGGTGATATCAGTACAACCCAGTTGTTTGTTGATCTTATAAGCGCGCTCAAGTAAAGCCAGGCGGTAATTGTCGGTTACCCCGGCAACGTGCACAAGACTATCTGCAAGGTAAACCAACGCCTTTACAAGTAAATCTTCTTCAAGGCACGGGACCACTTTTACTCCTTCAACAAACTCTTTCAAGTGTGGACATAGCAGAATCCTTATGGCAAGATCGTGCTCTTTTAACCCACCTTTCTTTGATTTGTAAGCTTCGTTTAAGGCTTGAAGTACTCCACTCAACTCTTTCTTCTTCTCGCCAGTAGCTTCACATTTATCAACATTTGTTCCCGACTTGGCTTGTTTTCGTCTGATCTGAGAGAACGCCAACCGCATAACTTGATGAAGTGTAACCACTTCGATTCCTCCTTCTTCTGTTTTCGGATATATTAGCAAAGAACACCTTGCTATTTTTAGCTTGACGTCGTCAGGCACTCTGATGTTGACGTTACCACTGGCTTTAGCCTCGCGCAAGACGTAATCAGACACAGTGTCCAACGGAACGGGTCGTAAGGAGCAGTACGAAAGGACACGAAGGCAGCCCGGAGAACTTCGCTGTTCTCGGCCATCCGTATGGCTGCGAACTCTACAGCTGGTATCTTTGACTGCGGATAACATGGATTGTGATGCGTGAAATCAGAATGATCAAGATATGCGAAGTACTCTTGGAGGTTCGACAGATAGTTTTTCCAAGAAAACTTTGAAACCGGGCGATCCATACTCATTTGCCTGACATAAACTGCTGCACAAGCTAGAGACAGTGGAAAATAGCCAAGATCGCTAGCGACTTTTTTAGCATCTTCATCCACATCCATTTTAGATATCACTCGTAACAATTCCATAGCGTCTTCCTCTTCCATCCCTGAATCCAGCGAGATTACCCTGGCATGTGCGTGGGATCTGGGGGCGAGTTCAGAATCCTGGGTCGTAACCAAGACTGTTCCCTCCCCCCATGAGCTTTCCTGTCCCGGAGATGGCCAGAATTCTCTCATTTGATCACTGACTGTTAGGTTATCAACGATCAAAAGCCAGACAGATTTTGTTCTACGAAGGTAGTTCTTAAAACCTTCCACGTAACTCTTGATCTGCTCGCGGACACCTCCTTGATATTCGCGTTCGTTAGAGATTTCTAACTTCTCGTGTAATTCTTTGAATGATTGTAACATTGACTCAGGGCTATTCGCTTACAACGTAGCGACGACACGAAGCAGATTTTCGAAACATCTCCCAGGTACATTGTTTTGCATAAACTCTTCTCCAACCTGTCTTGCTAGTTGTGTCTTTCCACAACTGGGAGGACCTTTAATGTACAAGCCAATGACTGTGGAGCTTGAAACGTTCTGTCTTAAGTCGACGAAAAAATCGTATACCTTTTGTAATTCTCTGCCTCGTCTGTGAGTCACGTGAAATGGTTTACCAGGTAGAATCCACACTGAAGGAAAAACTCTTCTCGTGATTGAAGCTTCAGCTAATGACAAATAAAAAGATTAGTGACAACCTTTTAAACCCTCAGAGTGACCAGCATCCAATTTCTCCTTACAGCAATACTGCTCTGAATCATTCATTACGATCAAGGGAATTATGGAAATGATCGTCAACCTGAGAAGCTGCTCCTTGTGAGCAGCAAAGAATTTTATAAGTAAGAGTATGGAAAATACAAATACTGATGATATAGTGTAAAGGGTTAACAACATATAGCATGTCCTCTTAATTTCCCTGGACTTCTTGTACATTTACGAAGGTAATACGTTACCTTCCTGAAGATTGGTATCGTCTTTTAGTCCTATTGCTAATCTGGCGATTCCATCTTGAGCTATCTCAGCGACTATGGAGAGAAAATTGAAAAGTGGAAGAATATCTTCCAATTACTCCATAATGAAAGTAAGCGTAGCCAGTTGGACTCCACATGGAAAGGTTTCGGTTCTATCGAGATTTCGATCAAGCTTTGGCCGGTTCATTGTGCTAGCTGTTTTCTGGGGCTTGGGAGAGATACCTTCAGGGAACCACAGGCTGAACACACTGTTTTCGTGGTTGATGATTGTTGACGTGAGACGAACAAAATCTGTGGTTTATGAATAAAGCTCTGAAAATTGCATGTTTAAATTACATCTCGATTTGAATATCTCAATAAAGTTAAGTGAGATGTTAATTATCTCATTTTTGGTATTTTTCGCCTTCATGGGCCGTTTGAAGGGTCTTTGTGTGAAACTGCCTATGCCAGAGACCGTTAAGAGAAGAGCAGTTTCGTAAAAGGACGCCTTAAACGGCCCATGATGGTTAAAAAATATTACAAATGTGTTGATTCATATTTCGTTGAACATTCTTGAGATATTCAGACCGAGATTTAATTTAGATATGTAATTTTCAGAACTTTATTCATAACCCTCAAAGATTTTGTTCGTCTCATGTCAATAATTATTAACCATGAACATGTAGTGTGGTCTGCCTGTGATGGGACTATAAAAGGACCAGAACTGTATATGGGATCTCGGCATTAGCCTTTTTTCTCTCGACTGAAATCGCGTCCCTAGCTAAGTATTAGCTTTCGAGGAGTGGCACCGGGAGTTTTTTATGGTTTCATTTATTTGGGACGAGAGTTTGGCACGTGATTGGCCACAATTTAGCAAATTACACATACCCGATAGACGGACCTGCAACCGCTGTCTGTTTGGACGCAGACTGACCTACTTAAAAACAAGGCGGGCAGACCCTGCTTGGGATTTAACCTCGCACCCCTTTTCCCGAAGAAAATCGTCTCTCATAGGGAAGGAAACAACGCCGAGCCGAACTCGGAAGACGGGAGGCTCGATTTCTGCTGTTTCCTAAGATCCGCAGAGCGCGGGCTCATTTTCATGATTAGCGGCTGATGATTGAGCTTGATTCGCCTCTTATGTTCACTTTGGTTTCGCATCAGCGATCAAGAATGGCTGAGGAAGAATTTAAAAAAGCATGGTCGTTATTTTAGTTTGAGTTAATTACCTTTGTCGTTACAGTATCTCTCTACCAAGTCATGCCTTTTAAAAACCTCGTTATCTAGCCCCTCAGCTAAGCTTTGATAACTCGCCCCAGATCCACGCGACTCCTTCCACTTTCTTAGCATGGTATATGATTTATCCAACACTTTAGGATTATCTTCGTGAATTTCATCCAAAGTCGCATTTGTTAGGCCTAAAACCACACCAAGTGGTCTCCAGATTGACTCGATTTCACGAGCCAGACTAAGAAGTTCTTTGTCCTTTGGTTGGCCTGTCTTGAACACTACCTTTCTGCCTGTTTTTGAAAAACAAAAATAATAATAGTGATGATAATTCACGATTCAATCGTATTCATATGTCACGTTTGTCAAAATTTCCTATGTAGGATCTCTCTACCTCTCCCCCCTCCCACGACTACATGAGCCAGGCTGGGAAGTTCTTTGTCCTCTAGTTGACCTGTCTTGAACACCTCCTCTCTGCCTGTTTTTGCAAAACATAAATTATATAGTGTAGTGTTTGTTCGTATTGGTTAAATACTTTAGCTATTACATAATCTTTATTCTATTGGTTAACAAACCCTTGACCGCGGTCACGTGATTAAGTCCATTGTTATTCTAATAAAGCAGTTGTGTAAAGCACTTGGTCTGTGCACGCGTTACTCCATAGTAGTATACAACGAACCCTAATACACAACAACTGGCGACGAGGATGGCCACTCTTATGATTGGGTTATATAACCCCAGTTCAGAAGACTGGAACGTATATTGCGAACGTTTCGATGAATACGTGATCGCGAACGAAATCAAAGAAGAATAAAAGATTGTGGCCACGTTCCTGACCTCGATAGGCAGTAAGACCTACAACATCTTGAGGGATTTGCTAACCCCGGTGAAGCCATCTAGCGTAAAGTTTACAGATTTAGTTACAACTTTACGAGATCACTATGAGCCAAAGCCGATTGTCATCGCAAAACGCTTTCACTTCCACAAACGCGAACAGCTCGAGGGGGAAGGTGTGGCTGCGTACAGTGCAGCCCTAAAGAAGTGTTCAGAACACTGTGCCTTCGGCGCATTTTTAGAGGAAGCCCTTAGAAACCGATTCGTCTGAGGCCTGAGAAGCAGACAATTCAGAAAAGAGTCATAGCAGAAAAAAATCTCACGTGGAAAACAGCGGTAGAAATGGCCTCGGCAATAGAAGTTGCTGATAACTTCAGGAATTTGCCCGCAGATAGTGGCATACACTTTGTTAAATCATCGCATCCGCTAAAAGCAATAAAGCCAAAGAGATCGTGTTTCCGCTACTGCGGCGAGGACCACATCCCGCAAAAGTATCGATTTAGAAAAGAATTATGTCGGAACTGTAAATCAGGTGTTTGCCCATGGATTACGTCCTAATCAAGATGGGAGAAGACGACCAGTCCGGTACGTGGAAGACGATGTCAGATTCTTCGTACTCTATTCAACGCGGACTCGCATGAAATGTGAGGTTATTTTTTCTTTTGTTACGCAGTGTTTTGTTTGTACTGCTAGTGTTGACCTTTGATCTGAGCGATTGACATTTGAAACTAATTTATGCATATTTACAAGATCTGTGCAGTTTTCGACAGTATAGATGGAACATAATTCGCTATCGACATTAATTAGGTGAGGTTGTAAATAGGCACGAATTTTTATTACGACTTGAAGTTTATTAAAGACGACACCCATCCCAAAGAGCCAAACGACGACTTCAAATTGTTTCACATTCATAACGTAAAACCTGAACCATCCATCATGGTTCCTGTAAAGGTGAATGGTCAAAACGTTTCGATGGAGTTGGACACTGGTGCGTCAGTTTCAATCATGTCGGAGGAGGCGTGGAGAAGGCGGTTCCCGAAGTTCCATTAGGAGTCCCAAATTATGTTGAAAACTTACACAGGAGAAGCCCTCGAAATTATTGGACATGCACTGGTGGAAGTAACCTATCAAGATCAGACCACCAAGTTACCGCTCCAAATTCTCAAGGGGAACGGACTAAACGTATTTAAAAGGAACTGGCTAAAGAACACTAGGTTAAATCGGGGATCCACTAAGAAGATCAGCTGTGATTTAGACAGCGTGTTATCTAGACATCAATTAGTATTTAAGGATGAGTTAGGTACTATGCAAGGCGTTCAGGCTAAATTTTTCGTCAAGCCCGAATCAAAACCGGAGTTTTTAAACCACGCCAAGTTCCGTATGCTTTAAAAGAAGCTATTGAGCAAGAATTAGATCGCTTAGAAAACATGGAAGTAATCGAAAAGGTGCGCTACTCAAAGTGGGCGGCCTGTCGTCAAACGGGATAATTCGATTAGAGTTTGTGGCGATTATAAAGTCACTGTCAATTGGCTAGTGATAAAACCTGAATAGCGACCGAATAGTGCGAATAGTCGCGAATAGTGACGAATAGAGGCTAATAGTCGAGAATAATCGCGAATAGTCTCGAATGGTCTCGAAAAGAAAATACCCTGAAAAAAAACGAGTCCATCATGGATCTCCCAGCGGACAAAGGGCGCGATAGCGTGGTCATGGATACCGATACCTACCGAGCTAAGATGTCTACGCTTATTGAGAACGGACCGTACCAGCTCCTCGACAAAGATCCGACAGACAGTATGACCCGCAAGTTATCGGAAAAGCCGCTTACCTTGAAGCGAAGCGGATATCTATCAGAGGCCGTTTGCAACAAGATCATACCCCGACACAAACAGCCGCCTAGAATCTACGGTTTATCGAAGATCCATAAGGTCGATGTACCGCTAAGACCTATTGTGTCGTGCGTAAACAACTTTGCATATGATTAATCCGCTTACTTAGCCAACATCTTGTCTCCTTTAACAGGGAAGTCAGAGCACACGGTGACCAACTCAGCCCACTTCGTATCCACCGTCAGCAATGAGACGATCCTGGACAACGAGATCATGGTTCGACGTAGAATCGCTGTTTGCCAACGTTCCTATCGACACCGCTGTACAAGCCGCACTGCAGAAACTCGAGAACGACCCAAGCCTTGCAGACCGTACCACGCTAACGCCTGCACAGATCGCCGACCTTTTGACCTTCGTATCGAGATCCACAAATTTCCAGTATAACGGATCGATTTACGTGCAAAAAGACGGCGCCGCCATGGGAAGTCCGGTTTCCACTGTTATTGCTAACCTCTACACGGAGAGTTTCGAAGAACAGGCGATAACTACATCATCCTACGAGCCTAGGATCTAGAAACGCTACGTACCCTTACCATTCTAGATCGCGAAAACGTGGATGACTTCTAACAGCATCTAAACAACCAGCAGCCTTCCATCTGCTTCATCATAGAGACAGAGAAAGACAACAAACTCGCCTTCCTAGACACCGCAGTTTAAAGAGAACCTGACGGCCGCCTCACAACCAGCGTATACAGGAGGCCCACGCACACCGATCAATACTTGGTGTATGATTCACACCACCCTCAATCAGTAAAATGCGGTATTGCTAAGTGCCTTTACGAGCGAGCCAAACGTCTCGTAACAAAACCCTCCGTCATCTCCGAGGAGAAAAAGCATCTGTCATCTGTTCTGGTTTCTAATGGTTATCCTTTTCCTTTCTTGCAGAAACTTACCGGAAAACCAAACAACAGTGCCGAACCCGCCCGCGAGTTCAAAGCTACCGCGGTTTTACCTTATGTCAGAGGTCTGTCAGATCAGCAGGTAATTCAATCTTAACAACTGGGTTGAAAACGTAAATCAGCCACCGTAAAGGGTAAAAAGCTGACGTTTCGTGCGTTAGCCCTTCGTCAGAGCGATTGGAGGAATTGTGGGTTTATATGCAGAAAGCGGAGCTGCGCCATTGGTGGGAATATGGTGACGACAAAACAGGACTAAATTAGTTGGATGAAAAGCGCTCGTTGATTCCGTGGGGATTAAGGGTGCCAATTTGGAAGATAAATTTTTGTTCTAGTGTTTTGCGGCTTTCCGAACTATCTAAATTTAAGGAAAGGCCGCAAACTGCCATATGCTGTTTAGAATGATTAGGGAGATTAAAGTGTCTAGCGACTGGTTTGGATGCGTCCTTGTCATTTCTTTCCACGTCGCGAAGGTGTTTTCGGAATCGGTCACCTAGTCGCCTTCCTGTTTCGCCGATGCGTAACTTATTGCAATAAGTGCAAGTTATGCAGTAAATAACATTGGCGTAGGTACACGTAAAGTGATCAGTGATCTTAATGGATCTCTTGGTTTCCGATATTTTCTCTACGTTATGAATGAAAGAACATGGACCCTGATGGACTTTCGATATTTGATGGATCAACATTATCATCTCTATTGATGTTTCCCTGGAGTGCTGTACCAGTTGCATTCATGGTAAGTAAATCTGAGGAAAAAACAGTTGATAAATTAAATAAACACTAAAATACCATTATATCATATGTAACTGCAAAATGCAATATCACCTAATTTTTTACATCTGGCAACAGTGCTTGTTGCTACTCTTAGCTTCCTTGAGGCTAAACTATACAAGTTTAGAAACAGGACCCACCATTTGTTAAATAAATATTTTAAACTCTTTAACTCATAAGAGTGACATGCATCTAAAATCTCCTCAAAATATTACCACAGAATCAAATTAAAACATTAAGGTTCACAAACTGAGAATGCTCTTGATTGTTAAGAAAATGCTTCTTGTCAGCACCTTAGGAAACTTATAGAGAACAGTATGGAGAATATGAATACTGATGGTAGAGTATAAAGGTTAAATGAATGATCAAATGATAAAGCCCTGATCTAATGATTTCCCAAAACAAGCCCAAATGTGAAATCCCTTTTACCATCAGAGACATCCATAAGTTCCTCAAAGCCTGTGTCGCTTGCGTCAGGAGATGTGCCAACATCAGGAGACACTTGCAGATCCCCATCAGCCTTAATTACCAGTGTTAAAAAAAAAGGAGACATTTCAATAAAGGCAAAAAGTGTTCAAATTGATGCCATGACAATATCAAAACATTGTGCCTTTTTCTATGTACTATTGGATGATTTCAGTATTACCATGTACTATTCTAAAATAAAGCCATAGACCCAACGGCAAACTCTTGTTTTTCCAATTTTTTTGTTTCCAAGAACTATATGCATTGT